ACTGTGTCCTATCAGATAAGTATGATTTAATCCAGAGAACCAAGTTCTTATCAACACCAAGAAGCAATAACTTTTCAAGTAACTTTGAATGCGTGACTCTGTCAAATGCTTTAGATAAGTCAATAGATACAACATCTACTTGGCCACGAACATTTAGCACTTTTCCAAACTGATGAGTTGATTCAAACAACTGGGTGATAGTCGATAGCTTCCTGCGAAAACCGTGTTGTTTATCATAAAAAAGGTTTCTGTCTTCTAGAAAATCAACGAGATGTTTAGAAATGATGTGTTCGAGCATTTTGCAGCTTGTTGATGTCAACGATATTGGCCGGTAGTTTTTAACTTCAAGATGGTTGCCCGATTTGTGAATGGGTACAACTTTGGCAATTAACCAATCCTTTGGTAAGCAACATGTATTTAGCGACTGTTGAAAGATAATGGTCAAAACACGTGAAACCGGTTCGCAGTAACGCCTCAGGAATTCATTTGGGATTTTATCTGGTCCCGGTGATTTTTTTATGTCAATATTTAGTAGTAAGGCCCTCACTCCCTCGTAAGTAATTTGAATAGGCTGTGTTTGCAGACTGGGTTCATTGTCAGTCAGGTCATTTACAGATGTGCCTGCTGAAAAAACCGAGTGAAAGTAGCTATTGAATTCATTTGCTACGGTAAGCGGATTATCGCATATAGCACCGTCTACATAAGCTTCTTTTATAACTTTCTGCTTAGGGGACAGATGCTGCCAAAACTTATGAGGCGATGTTTTTAAAATCGTACTCATCGTATTAGCAAAATAGCTAGTTTTGGAATCTTTGAGTTTCTTTTTCACATCACGGCTTAAAGAACTAATTGCTAACAAGTTCCGGTGCTTACACAGTCTCTTACGTTTTAATCTGCGCTTTAAGTGGATGATCTCACGTGTGACCCAAGGATTTGTCTTATTAATCTTTTTTATTCTCTGAGGAACATACGCTTTTAGACAGTAGTTTACTGCTTCCTTAAAGTGATTCCAGAGGCTTTCAACGTTAGCGTCCTGGCGAAAAGAATCGAGAGAATAATCCAAATAATCTAAGACAGTTGTGTCCTCAGCTTTTTCAAAGTTGTAAACGAGTGCCGTATTCTTTTTCTGTTTTTGAGGGGGGCTATTTTGTGTTACCGTCACACGCACCAGCTTATGATCTGAAATCCCGTCTACAACAGACACCTCGTACTCACGAAAGCACGTCGAAAGAAAGCAGAGATCTAAAATGGAATTTCGTGGCCCACACGTTCTTGTGGGTTCCCGGACTATTTGATCGAGGCCGTGTTTTAACAATATTTCTAGCATGTAATCATCTTGTTTCCCACCTGACTCTTCGACAATTTTTTCGTTCCAATTAATGAGGGGGAAATTAAAATCTCCAAGAACTATTAATTTAGTGCGTTCATTAGCATGGAGTGTCAAAAAATCATCAATTTTTTCAATAAAACTGATGGCCGAGGATGGCGGTCTATATACTCCGCCGACCAGAATGTTACAATGTTTTAAGAATATCTTGCACCATACACTCTCATGGTCTGGGATATGCGTTACAGCCTGATACCTCAAGGACCGCTTTATAAGCAAGGCAACACCCCCACCTCTAGTGTCTCTGTCGCGCCGCAAAATATCGTAACCGGGAGGGAATACTTGGAAATCTGATACGTCGTAACGCAACCATGTTTCCGTTATCACTACAAGATGCGGGTCATGATCGATTAAAACAGCTTCCAGTTGGTCAGTTTTATTCATAACACTTTGCGCATTTAGCGTGACTATTATCAATCTTGAAATCTCCTGATGTCATTCTTTTTCCGATGCAGACGTGGAACTGGCCGTGTGTGATGTGTTTAACTTTACCCTCCGTTCTTTTTCAGAATCCCAAACGTATGCCACGTCATCAACGTAAAGTCTGTCATTAACATGTTTAACCCTTACTCCTCCCGGTTTTTCGTCGTGTGCTGACTCCCACAGTTTCTTCCTCGTCTGCAACGTTTCTTTTGAAAAGTCCTCGGAGATTGACACTGCTGTTCCTTTTAGTTTCTTACAGTTTTTAAACACAGACACTTTTTCATTATAGTTGAATACCCTTAGAACTACAGGTCTATTTTTGCCTTGGGTGATCCGCCCTATTCTGTGAATTCTTTCGACTGATGTTAAGGACACACCCAGTTGCTTGTTAAAGACGTCATCGAGCACCTTTTGTTCCAGACTCCTCCTTGTTTCTCCAGGTTCCTCGTGAATGCCGAAAACTATAAAGATCTTCCGGCGGGATCTATCTTCAAATTCAACAAGCCTTCCGTGTTGGTGTACAATTGTGTTCTTCAACAACTGTACTTCGCTTTCGAATTCACGAATTTTGTTTCCATTTTCGGTAACTGTACTTAGAACCCCGCTCAGCCTATCTTCAATGCTCTTGAGTGTCTTGTTTACATTAAGGTTGTCAGTTTTAAGCTCCTTAATGTCATTGGATATTTCAGTCTGTTTTTTTCAATATATCCTGTAGCATTCCCATAGTCTCCTTATCGGGGCCCGGGTTTAATTCGATATCACCAGAAAGTCCCAAAAGCAGTCTACTAACAGCGAAGCATTCACATACGCATTGCAAAAACACTCGTGGGCACGGCAGGACAATCAATCCTACACAATTGCTACGATAGCCCTTATCGTTACTGACCTGGACAAGAATGGCAGTTGGCATGTCAGCTGATGCTCTCACGGCAGAAGCGCCGTGCCCACTAAAGTCCGTTGGAGACAGCATCCAGCTTTTATGCAGCACCGAAGACGCTCTTTGTCGGTGATTGGTCCCAGTCGTTGCTGAATCTTCCAGCACGTGGCCAAGATCGCCGATGCGGAACGGCAGGGTGACGTTGCTTGTTGACAGAAGTAATTCTGTCTGCGATGGTTCCGGAGTCGTCGGCCGCGCGATGCTAAACAGAAGCACCAGCACCTGGACAAGAATGGCAGTTGGCATGTCAGCTGATGCTCTCACGGCAGAAGCGCCGTGCCCACTTCACTGGCTTCACGTAAACTGATCCAAATAATGGATCAGTTTACGTGAAGCCATTCTCAAATGCCTCCTCAGAAATGTTTTACGATAATATTTTAAGCAAGTTTAATGTACAGTTCTCTCAAGCTATTATATTATACGAACCGTACGAGGTAGAACTAGAAGTACTTAATTTCCCATTTAGCATCGAGAATGTGACGAGCCCATGAAATGAGCTGTACTTGGTCAGGCGTACGGATGCCGGGAAAGTGGAAGGCACCAAAAAGAGTTGAATACGGCCAAAGCAACACTTTATCGCGCTGGTGAAAAGCGGTCTGCGATAGCTGTTTTGTCCCAGGACGATTGTTGAGCGAAGAGAAAAAGGTTACTCTATAAGCCTCCTGAGAAACAAACGGACAGCCCTATGCCGCCCATACTGTCAAAAAAAATAGAAAAAAAAACACGGCTTTGCAGAGATGTCTTTTGGAACAGGTCAGCCTCTGGAAGGCAGCCCCGTGGAGGAAGATACATTCGATAGGGAGGTACAGGTAGAGCTGACAACGGTTAAGCACTTCATGACACAAGAGCGAATTGAGATCCTCGAGGGCTTCTACGAATTGCCAGAAGACCTCATTAACGCAGTAAACAGGTTAGTCCTCGCGTTACGAATGGCACATTGAAAGATTGCTTCTCGCAAACCAGCTTCGATGAAGAGATACGCATCCATGTCGTAGAGCAGCTCCAGTTTTATCCCAGTCTGTCTAAGTTCGTAGGTGAGACTGAGCACAGGGAGGAAAACGTGATGTAACAGATCAATCTCGCGCGTGTCTAAATCCCGTTTCCTGACGTGTTAAAACACTTCGCCAAGAAGGAGGCAATCGAGTTTCAGGTAGCAGGCACTGTATTCTCTTAAACGTTTGAAATTTAATGTTAGAAGGACAGTTTGGGCGTGACGGTAGTCCTCCTCTTAAATTTGGCTGCCGTTAGGCTTGTTGAAAAAGGACTCGCGCGGTTGTAGCTCGGGCTCCTGGTGAGCCTTCAAACTGGTCATGTATAGTCGTAGGAAAACACGCCTTTCTGCGCCAGAAGATTCACGTTTTGCGGAAAAGCCTGGTCGTCTACCAGCAAGCGCAAGGTGGCGGGGAGAAAGGCTAGACTGTCGAGAAACCACAGGTTACCCACGTCGAGTCTCTTAAATTTTTAGAAGCTAGAGATGAGCACTTTAATATATTTAGACTCGAATGTGTCGACTTTCGGTAAAATAAAGGTCAGGCCATTCGTATTGTTCTGTGCAACGACTGGAATGACTTTCCTGTCTACTCTTAGGTTTAGATTGACTCCCTGACACAACGACTGTCTGCGTAATCCGCTAGAGTAAAAGCGATCTCTGACTTTTTTTTTTCGCTTTCCGAAAGATGCGAGACAAATCGTGCAGCGGGGAGGCCGACCTTTGAGCCTCTTCGTCCACGCTCACCATTGGCACTTCCTCACTACGAATCCATTCGCCAATGAGCTTGGACAGTTGATTAATTGGAATTGAACGTTTTCACGCAGTCCTCGCCCCGGTACGAAAACTGCTCGACGATGAGCGACTCGCCATGGATCGGATTACAAGTATGCAAAACCAACTGAGGGTTGTTAAACGGAAGCCAATCTTGTGGGGAATATAGTGAACCTGGGCCAGGAGAACTTGTAACGCCTCCGTGGGGAAGCACTGCAGCCGCTCCCGTATATCACACAAATGACAGGTTACTATTTCATTTTTTAATTGTTCTGCGACTGAACGATTTTCGTCCGAGCACGAGAAAATGATGATTTGTGACCGCGCTTTCTTCTTTCTTTTTCTCATTCAATAGTCCCTTCATCGCCCTCATGCTCTCAATGCCTTCCTCGGTCAGTTCCGCGAACCGCTTCCGTAAAAATACCTTTACCAACTTGTACTCCAGCTGGAGGATCACACACACGGATGACCGGTAGAGCATGTCCACTCACCTCACTTCCAGCACCGTTAGTTTGACATTGCACGGGATTTGGCCCATGCTTAGAAACAGAGGCGATTGAAGGCGCTTGAAGTGAACGCGGCTTGTTCAGGACCTTGTCCATTTTGAGTTGATCGGAGGGGCTGTGGCTAGAGGTGAGATGATAGTTCTGTAAATAATCACATTATTACAACGGGATTTGAGCTACAAAGCTTTTCCTAGCATTACATTTTTTCTCGAGAGAAAGCAGTGAAGAAATACGGAATAATCCCCGGCATTTATACCAAGCTCCTTACGAAATGACGACTCGTTGTGCAATCAACACGTGCGCTAACGTTGACTATATATAAAAAGGAAAATGAGACCGAAACAATAAAAAGAGCGAGCGGAGCTCAAAAGCAACGTATTTAATTTGCATTAAAAAATTATAACTTTCCGAGCCGTCGAGACATTTTCAGACTTGCTTTTTCCTGCTAGACGGACCCGGTATCGCGGTGCGCTCCGACCTTGGAGAAACCCCCGCTAATTTTTGAGGCATGTACTTCGTTGCGTAAGCATTGTGATTCAGTATTACTCACACGTTCGGGCGTCGCTATAGACCGCACTGTTGCTACGCGTGTTAAAATTAGCATTTATCGTAAAGCGAGAGTATAGTGTCCGCAGCTGCGAGAGTCGGGAAATGTGCTCCTCTCTCGCGAGTACCTAGAAAAGCGTCTGCAATATCTTCTTTTCGTTTGTCGACCAGCAGTTGACGTCACCATGTCTCCGGACCTGAACAAATTTCGTTTCCAAACAGCTGCGTCCATCACGATGATTGGCTCCTCTAAATCGGGCAAAAGCACGTATATACGCAATTTTTTTAGATTTAGTGAGAAATGTTCGAGAATGAGTCTCACGTCGTCTACTAGGTTTTCGTGTTTCCCCAGAGCTGGGTTTCAGAGATGAGGAGGGTTATTTTCACCGAGGAGATGCCGCAAACTTTAGACCCTGAAAGGAATTCGCTGATTAATTTTGACGACTTTCTCGCAAATGGAGCCAAGCTCAAAGACATGTGTGAATATTTTATAATATATGCTCAATACTCTAATGTTTCTCTCCTTTTCCTCACACAGAACATGTTTATTCAGCATTCGTACTTTAAAATAATCAAACTAAATTCTTCGCCCTTAATTCTATTATGTTCAGTTAGGATTGCCGATGAACTCCAAGTGCTATCCCGAAAGAATTTTGGGAGTTCAAGGGGCATGTTCTACCGCATATATATATTCCAACGCGTGTAGAACGCCGTTCAGTTACATTCTGATCGACCTATCGCAAACTTGTCCCTATAATTTCCATGTGAGAGCAAAAAAACTTGCCGGACGAGGGTCCGGAAGTCGTCTACGACATCTTCGTCTCACCATCCTATTGAAACGCATTAGCAAGCACGCGAGATTTTCGCACCTTCTGTCGGAAGCCAAATCGTCTAGTCAAAGAAAATCACTACTACCCAGGCAGCACGCCGACACTGGGCCAGCGTTGGGGTACTATTGCTCACGATATTTGCCTAGTTTCATGTTTTGCACCACGGCCCAGTGTTGGGCCAATATTGGTTAACGATAGCTCTACAAAAGGGCCAGAATCGGCGATATCATTCGAGTTCTGGGAAGAGATGGGCGAATATCGGTTAACATGGCCGCGGCCGCTGCGGTGTCAGCGGACTTGGGCCAAGCCAACCTTATTAGAACCGATCAGTTGGAAAACTGCCATAGACGCTGCTCAGAAAAAGTGGCACCGATCCGTACTCGAGAACCGAGCTAATAGCGATCGGAATGCCGCCATTTCTCCCGCACCGGCCACTCGAAGAACTGCACGTGACTTATATTTTAACTTTAATCGGCCATTTTGGCTGCGAGACAGATACCGTGGAAGGGGCTTCAAGGGTGCCATTCCCGACTCCCAAGCGGACGCGCCGCGAATCACTGCCGAAGTTAGGATGCGTCTAGGTCGGGACGCGCTACCTGAAATCACCGCAGAGGCATAGCTGTATAAAAACAATATTATTTGCGCCGCCAACCTTGTAAACTGAACATTCTAGCACCCCCCCCCCCCCTTTTTTGTACTAATCGCCAATAAAAGTTACTACAAAAAAAAAGTTTTTTTTCGTTTGTTTGTACGGAAAAAACCAAGTTCCAGCCACAGATTGCCCGGCGCGCCCTCGGGGGCGGTCCGTGGCAACAGCGGCGGCCGCCGCGATTGGCCGGCGCGATTGACTAATTCAGTATCGTTTTAAAAACGGTCAAGAATCCCTAATACCGGCCGATATAGCCGGTTCAGACCCGACAAATTGCCGAAAAACGGCGCTGGATACTGTATATCAGCGTGGCGTTGGCCGGCCCAAGTGATGTTCCGCCGACATCGGCCACATCACAGTAATACTGGCCCCAACTTCACGATACAGCGGCAATATTGGCAGTATCAGAATGATATTGGCCCGATTTCTCCGATCTGACGGCAATATTGGCGCAATACTGTGTGCTGCCTGGGTACGTCACGCTAAGGAAGAAAATATAAAACTAATTAGGGAAATTTGCTTAAACCTATGCTTCGAAACCTTCCTTATCTCCGCAGTTATAAAAAAGAAGGTGAAAAGATTTGCGTCCGTCATACGGAGACTGGGAAATCGATAGACAACGCACATTAACGTAAGAAAAACGCTGTTCTCGAAGAGAGGTGTTTTGCCCCTGCTCCTTCCTGCTCTTTGAGGCCTCATATCAGCCATCGGGGGAAAAGCCATCGCAAAGGCTATCGGAGTCTGAGAAAACGAAAAAATGTATAATCTGATACCTCACAAGGAGAACATTCCCGAGATTCTAAAAGAGACGAGAAAGTAGATTAACTCAAGCGAAAGAAAATAATCCAAACACTACACAAAATGTTACGTCCGTACAATTCGAATGATAGTTGCACTAACATCGACGACAATGAGGTGAGAGTGACGCCCATTACGGAAGAACGGGCAACGCAGACGAGCGAGGAAAAACGTGGGTATGATCACGACCTTCCCGGTGTAGTCAATTACTTTAGCAAAACTTGCAAACACAACGGTCGATCGCTTTTTAGTCTACTGAAACCGGTGCTCAGTTGGGATCCGCAAGCCTTGGAAATATTGGTCGACGATAAACCCCTTCAAGGATCCAACATTGTGGACTTCATTTCCTGTTTAGTTTCACGTTCGAAGAAATTGCCAGTTCCGGCTCTCTGCGATCGCGTCACGAGTTTAATGGTCAAAGAAAACATGTCAGTGACCGTCGTCAATCACGATCGTTTTAAAATAAGGACCGTAAAAGCGTGGGCGAGCATTCGTCGAGGTACGTCTTCTTTTTCAGTTACTTCACCGAAGCGCCTTCGTACTGTTTCCCCGGAGTAGCAGCAGCGTAGTGTGTCACCGACCCTTCGTCGATCTCGTTATCGACGACCTCACCTACCACTGCTATTCCTCTTTCTATCGCACCTCGTATCTCAAAGCGTCTTGTCTAGAAACATGGAAGAAGTTCTAGATAAGAATTACTTTTACGAGGAGGAAATTTTCTCCGCTTTTCACCCACGACACCGAAAAAAAGCTGCGACGCTGCTCGAGGCGATTTGGTCGGTAATTGCCTACACCCTCACGGAGAAACACTCGTTTATTCGGCATTGTAGACCTACTGCCACACTAGCTGCACAACATGTAGTTTTTTGGGGGTTTTTTTGCGACAGAGATATTGCTCTCATTACTTTATTACTTTCATGCTTAAAGTCAAGCGCGGTTCTTCGTAATCTCTAGCTGTTACGAAGTGTTCAGAAAAGGTAAAGTTGGTTTTGATAGGAACACGCCTCGGATGCTGTAACTGAAGAAGCATCTGATTCATCTTTGACTCGCATGTTCTAATTGTGGGTTGTAATTCTCAGAACTTGAGAATTTTCGATTATTCGATAGTTAAGAATTTGACGTATGTATAATTAAAAAGGTCAGTAACTTTGAAAATATTAATTTTTAGGTGACAAAACTATAGTAATAATAATAATAATAATAATAATAATTTTTTTCTTCTGTGCCCATAAATTGTTAAGCTTTTGCAGTGTGCACGTAATATACTACAAAACAAGCCGCGATAGATTGCGAAAAAGCAAAACAAATATTCTTGCCCTATTCAGGTAATATGATCAATTGGGGAACAAAGAAGGTAAAATCCCTAAGGCACATATATTATGCAGATGCTGCTCTCATTGTATGCCAATTGAATCCGCGACAAAGGGGAACAGGAAGCGTGCAAGGTTAATAAAACTTTGATAGCTGTCGGCTCACACTTAACGGAATATGGAATTGTTGGATCGTGATGGTGGGAAAAAAATGCTTAGGTGCTCATTCATTGAGAGACGCAAAAAAAAGCGCTCGACGTACTCTCCTGAATATTGCCAGCGCGACGTCAAAATCTGTACAATTTTGTTGGCGTCACACAACTGGAGATCGCGCGGAAATTTGAATGTTGGTTTCTGCATCATCTTGATTTACGGTTTTCTTAATAGCTATCATTAATTTGGAGACAAAAGAAATAACAAACCGTTAATACTAAAGTCAGTTTATTCAGAAAATTGCATTATTTTGGGTTAGCTAAAAAAGTGGACTACGTGCCCCTTTAAGTAACGTCTCGTAATGATAAAAAAATCGTCCACACACAGCGTTCATAAGCTATCCTTTTCATTTGTTTATGTACGCTTTTGATTGACGTTTATGTTCTATACATAGAGGATTCTAGATGCCCATTTCGAATTTTAACCCTAATCTGACTAGTTAGTTCAACAAATTAATCAGACAAGAGGGAGATGAAAAATGGCAACATAATCATGAAATTACGCCTAACACTCTGAAAGCATGGACACGTGTCCTTTGAAAACCAGTGAACTGTCGATATGTATACTGAGATACGCAATAACGGATACCCGGGGCATCAAGGCACCTTCAAGGTAGCGCGCAAAATAAATAAGGTGACGCTTCTAGATAGCACAATATTTTAAGATCTCTAAGGATTAAGTGTCAAGCAGTTTCTAATGCACCAACTTGAAACATGTTGATTATCGTCTTGAATGTGAGTACATTCCAATGGCGACTTTACGCTTAGAAACAGCGTAACACTATAGGTCTAAGGAACCACATTTGCATCAGTATGACATGAAAATTTTAATCATAAAGAAAAGAAACCAAAAGCGGGCCAGGATGGAGCCCTGAGGCACCACGGATTTCGAAACCGACTCCGACCGGGCAGGTATTACCAACACAAACCGAGTCGCTACGGCAAACTGGATCACTGAAAAGCCATGCATACTCTAGTGAGCTGAAACAATGCAGAACGAGGTTTTGTAGGGGTATATTATTATTGAAGGGGTAAAATGCTTTCTACACGTCGAAATAAATTGCGTCCTCATGGAAGCGTGTGCTGAGAAATTTAAAAACGAGCATGAGTTATTCTACGGACCTTCCCTTTGGAAATCAGTGCTCAACTTCAGATATAATTGTACTTAAATTGAACCTTTTTGGGATCCTTTAGCAAAGCTAGATAGCAATGACACAGAGTGGTAATTTTTTACAAGTGTGGAATGTCCGGATTTAAAAATATGCGCAACTGAAGATGACTTTATGTCCGAGAAAATAACCCTGTGTTGGATACGCGTTAAAAATGTTAATTAAAATGGGAGAAAACATAGAACATCTATCGTTTTATAATAAACCTAGGTATGCTATCACTGCCTCAATCAATGGGCTCGATTTCTCTTTATTTGTCAAAAACGTTAGCAAATACTTAAGATATGCAAATGAATCAAGCATACATATCCAAAACAGTCTAACAAATGCCTGCGCATCTACTAACCCGCAAAATACTCAAAGAGCCAATCTCTGTGTTCCACAAAATCAGCTCAGCGAATTATGAGACCAAAATATTAGTCTGTGCTGTGGCATTACGCAATTCACGCATGACGCTTTGCATTGCCTAAAGCAAAACCGAAAACTTAATTATTTGGTTTAAACGGATGTTCCGCCTCATCATTCGCTGAAGTGATTTCATGGAGTTCATTTTCTGCAATACATATGAAATTGTGTGTTGAGGCTATAGATACTTTAAATAAATATATCTACAATTTTATACTGTCTATTGCTTCCGGTTGCTTTATCTGTAAATTTTCTATAGAAGTTAGTGTATAGCAATTGTATAGCACACAGAGATTCTAACAACGTGTCCATCTCTTTTCTGTAAACGTTGGGGTCGCTTTTCGCGAGAAAATATTCTGAATAGTAATTTTATATTTGTCCCAACGCAACCGTTAAAACATATATTTGCCGATTGTCTAGTGCACATATGCAGACATCATAAATACACAAGCCACGGAGCACTCATAGCACGAGTAATTATGTAGTGTTCACTGCTCCATTGCCCTATTAACCCAAACTCGAAAGGAGATCATGGGAACGGTGACCGCCCCAGAATATGAAAAGATCACAAGAGTGCGGATTTTTTTTTCTCGCATATGAGGCATACGAATTGTGTTTCTAAGGGTTGGTTACCTGTCCCCAGCTATGCATCAATAAAGGAAACTATAATTATTTGACACAGTCGAAGAAAGCCGCATCCGCAAGAAGGTTTCAGCTGGTTGTGATGTCGCCTCTCCCCAATGCGTTTTATTATTCTGTAAAGTATAATATAGAAAACTTTTGTAAAAATGTGATGACATAAACTTTATTGCGACCTTACGACATAAATTCTGTAACATTTCTATCGTCGCCACTTTATAGGCTTCGGTTGATAAAAAGTCTGTAGAAAATGTAATTAGAGCAATATTACATGGCTGGTTTGGCAGAAGAAAGAAACGTTAAAATGTGGATAGCATTTTTATACTTGCCTGAAATATTAAAAAAAACTGGCCGTATAAAGTACTAGTACATGTGAAATTACTGTGCTTTAACTGCTTTTTAAGACGACTTTGCAAAGTATAACGAAGTTGGGATCTTTATACTTTTGTAGTACCTATTTGTAGCACACAAAGTGTTCTACGAGTGAAAGCGACAGCTGTTTCATTGCTAAAGTGGTGCCTGAAATGTTGTGATATATGACCTTTCGTAGTAGTACAATGGTTGTAGGAGATACTTTTGGGAGATCAAAGAAGGGCACTTACACGCATCTTCTTGTACATGATAGTCGGGAGTCTTGCTCACTTAGCTCTTCACGTCTCACTGCGGCCCTCTGTCTACTCTGCTCAGCGTTTCGTGTTAAACAGAGCAGAGCACACCTTCCGTCCGTCACATTTCCTAAAAAAACTCCTCATAAAAAGAAATCGGTAATAACATCAAAAGTTAGGCAAAACCTAAACAATTAGCCCAATTTCACCGCGTTCTATGCAAGGTACAATGTACAAGGACGTGCAGGGCTTCAGAGAAGGCATGTCAAATATACGCTTTCAACGCAATTGAAAAAAAAGCAAAAAAACGAGGGCCTGTTTTAGTGACTTTAAAGGCTCAATGTTCGCGTGAAGTAGAAAAGAAATGAGCCTTCTGCTAAGAACGACCATATGGAAACATGCCATGATCAAAGGCTCTAAAGCGGGTCGCTGTTGGTCGGCCAGTTCCTAAGTTGGTATATGTTTATTACTCTCTCAGCAAACGTCTGTTTCGATACGTATTCGTTATAACAATTAGGGGCGTTAACCTTGTATTTCAAGAATCGTATAACAAATTAAAAAATAACGCCCCGAGTAAATCACACACTGACCTCCGGAATCTTGGGAGTTGTTGTGACCGAGGAGTTCCCGAGGCAGCCTCAGGCAGGGCCAGGCGAAGACAGGGATCGCAAACTGACTCCAGGCAGGAACATCAGCAGGAAACGTGTTATCTTTCTTTGTCTTGAACCGGATCGGAAGGTCGAAAGGAGACTACTCACATTGATAAAAAGAAGACAAAAGGGAGATTTAATACTTAGTGCGAATTGGGGTGGCCACAGAGGCTGAGTTTCCGTTCTTCTGTCGCCACACAGGCTGAGTTTCCGTGTCGCCACACAGGCTGAGGTTCCGTGTCGCCACACAGGCTGAGGTTTTCGCCAACCAGGCTGAGGTTTTCGTTTAACGACGCCACACAGGCGTTACGGCGCAGCGAGACGCACGCTGCAACGTCAGCCTCCTCCTCTCGGCCCCGATGCTCGGTCGTTCTCCGAATTGAGGGCGCCTCGTAGGGGAATGTCTCGCGTACGGTAGACACAACAGACTGTCCATCTGTTCAGGGTCGGAGTCCGTCTGGCGTTCTCGTAGAATGCAGACGCCTCCGTGGAATGCAGACGCCGTAGACAGAACACACCGACGGCAACGTTCTCGTGGAAGGCATACGCCAGGCAGACGCCGCAGACAAAGCACACCGACGGGAACGTCGGTTCTGATGCCCTTGAGCCGAGGCCCAAGAGAAACGCTTCTCCGGTTTCGGTTGAACGTGCGAAAAGGGTTCGGATCGCACGCAAACCGTCTCGACGTTCGCTTGGTCGTCGTCCGCACCGGAATGCAAGGTCGATCTTCACAAACACAGGGAGATCGAGACGGGTCATAACAGCATCAACAACGGCTCAGACGGGTGCTTTCCGATTATAAACAAGACGGTCGGGCGGGCACAAAGAGAGGGCGAAGGAAGAGACGCGGCCTCGGCCAAGGCCGATCGCAACAGAGGGTAGACGTGGGGTACAGGGCTCCACACTTTGACCTTGAGCATAGGCCTAAAAACCGTTCATTCCGCTTTTTGCAGCCTCTTCGTGTATGACTTCTTCCTTAAGTGGAGAAATAATAGATAAAACCACAGTAGACCGCCAAGCCCTCCAACTGAGTATAACGTTTTCCGTCTCTCCCCCCTCTTTTTTTTTATTTCTCTGTTTTTCGTGTTTGTTTTTTTTCTTGTTTCTTTTATGTTCCGCCATCGCTCTTTCCCCTCCTCCTGAGAACCGGTCGGAAACGTCTACCCGCCCCGGCAGCTCACTTGAACAACCTGGCATATTTGAATACTAAGTGGTTTCAAATAACATCGCTCGCACATAGGCCGGTCGACCAGACTTTTACCTATCTCAGATACTCGATTCAAGATACTATGTTTCAATTACTTTGGTTAATTTGGTATCTTACGAATACAATTGATTATGAGTACTTGGTAAGATATCTTAATTATATTCCTCAATAGCTTGTACTCATTAGGTCTTTAAATTTTTAATATGAAAAAAAACTTGTCGTAGGAATATATAATTGGAATTGGAACCGGTATGCCCCACCTCAAAGTTGAACAGTTCACAAACTTGAAAGGGAAAAGACCGAACACAAAGCATGAAATAAGGCAGACTGAAAATGCTAACAAAGGAACAAACAGAAAGAACTCGGGAATTGACACAAAAAAAAAAAAACACAAAATGCTTTTCTTTGCTTTTGTATTTTTTGTTTTGTTACATCAAATACGCGACTTTTTTTTCACCAGTCCGGCACTCTCGGGAACAATTCCTTTGGGGAACGGAGATAACCCGATCTTGAATTATGGAGACATATATTAAAACAAATGAGAAGAAACATATCAGTAGAAAGATGAGCTCTCCAACTTCAAACAAAAAGCACTTCCACAGTTATGTGCCCCTTTGAACGCGCTTCTAGAACATAGCATCTGGAAAACAATAAACGCCGAAAAAATGACACTTAACACCAACCCAGAATCATAAAGACAAATATTAAAACAAAAAGAGAGGAAACATATTAGAAGCAATGGGGGCTTCCTTAATTCAAACAAAAAGCCCTTCCGCAGTTATGTGCCCCTCTAAACGTGCTTTTAGGACAATAAGTATCAGGAAAACAATAAAGGCCGCAAGGAAGACAGCAGGGATTCTCCGTGTCTGATTCTGCCTTGTTCAGTCATTTGCCAAGCAACGTTTGGGTAATATACCCGGGGAAGGCGCGCAAAGGGCCACTTTATTAACTTATTTTTGTGTATTCAGAATTTGTTTAACGTGAAACCTTTGTTAAGGAAGGATTAACAGGCGGTCATATCTATGTGTGTGACCGCTGAGTGCGTGCTGACGGCAAGTTTCCATAGCTATTTTACTAATTGCTCTTCGCAGCCAATTAATGTAAGTTTAAGCCATAACTCATGCATGGAATGTTCAGTTCTTGCCTTGCACTTTGGCAATTGTTTTCCGAGCCAGAGAGAAATCCATAAGGAAGCCAAAGAAAAGTACTTTGGTACTAAGGGAGTTCATGAAGCAATACCTTATAAGTCCAAGGTAGTTCCCCAAGATTGCGAAAGAAAAGCTAAGTTAGGTATTTCTGTGGCGGTCTGCCTACAAACTCAAGTCCTAAGTTGTTGTTTTTTTATTGGGGGGGGGGGGGGGGGGGGTGGATAACCATAGTAAATGTTTGAAATAACAAAAAGAGAATTATCTCGATGGAACTTTGATCATAAGTTATGAAATCTCCGGAGTGGCTCGCATACTCCAGAATGGGAGTCGTAAGGAAGGGACAGTCAACGTGGAGAAGATCATTGGAGAGAAAAAAAAGTTGTGATTCAAGCAGCGAGTTGCGAACCTACTGTCGTTATTTATAATAAGTCATGTTCGAGTTGTTATCCGATGCAAAAATGTAATCCTTTCTGGTTGAGGATATACACACAGATCCGGTCGGGTTCACACATGCGTCTGCCACCGCGTGCAAAATGAGTATTTGTCAGAAGGACAACAAAAAAACGTTATCAATTATTGAGCTTGTTGCAAGTGGCGTTATCTGTATTGCCCTAGACAATTTGATTTTTTTTTTCATTTGCACACCTGGATTGCTACTATTGTCTGCCAAAGCCCATGTAACTGACCACCCCTCCTAGATGAGTGTTCTAAAACCCTGATAGCTGTCATACCAAATCATCATTTGTTTTCACAAGTCTCCGGGTCCTTGTCCAAGTGGACGAGCAACTAACCAATAATTTTTGGTCCAACATAAAAACAGGAATTTGTGGTAGACCAATCAGCCTTGCGTGGTGCCCTCAAGAAAGATGATAGTTACCTCATAAAAAGAAACTTGGTAAGTAAAAGAATCCACCCCAAGGTTTCAAGGCTCTGTGGAGTCTGTCAACTTATCACTAACTAGCACTATTCATGTTTTACAACCCCAGCTGTTAGTAGATCATCCCCCAAGAAACTGCATTACCGTCGTTTGCGAAAACTCCCGGTGATGCCATCAATCACATCATTGCTCCCCAAACGCTACCGACACCGCTGAGTTTCTTAGGAAAACAAAATGCCTCCGTTAAGTCAGAGTCACATAAGCAACATTTGATTGACAGCAACCTAAGCTATCGAGAGGACGAATTTCATTTATTTGAAAAGAGGCCAACAGAAATATCAAGTTTACTTCTAAAATTCTAGATTTTGCCTACGTTTTAAAATCATCGGACACCCTACTTCTATAAATTAAAAAGGAAAACAATATTCCAACCAGATGTTAGAAACAAAAAAGAAAAAACCTGTCACACTTACAAGCAGTGGCTCAAAAAATCGAAATTTTACGCCAATATGCGGGCACGGCAACAACGTTTCAGCGATGACGGCTAACATCCCACTACTATTCACTGTGCAGCTCCTGTACCTGGTCTATAACGGTGGCGCTATGGTACGCTTACACCTGCAGAGAAATCCGCTGCCGCGGGAGCGGATCCGCTCCCGGCGGCGGCGGCGAAGAGCTGGTTGTGTTTACATCTATTTTCTTCGAGCAGTGGCGGCAGCGCCGGCTGCGGCAGCGGTTCCCGTAACGCCTCGTCAAATATGACGAGAAAGCGCGAGAGTTCCCGCCTCGGATCTCTCTCTCCCGGGCGTTGCTGCTCCCGGAAGGACGCGTACTCTTGACGTAGGCAGCGTCGCGCCGCGCAAGAATGTCACTTCCGGTCAGCGAAACGCCTCGTTCGGCGGCGGAAATAGGTCCTGGACCAAAACGGCTCGCCGCCGCGTTTTCCGCCCAGCGTTTCGCCCCAGCGGCAAAAGCTGGGCGGATTCGCTAGCGGATCCGCAAGTGTAAACGTACCATTACTTCCACCCCCACACGGCGGAAACCATCGCATCATCTGTGGCAGCGGAGATGCCCCCGTTGATTTCTCTGGCCGACGCGTTTCTTCAAGATGACTTCGACTCTGGATCGCTGGCGCTCCTTTTTCCGTCAGTGCGGCCAGGCATGACAGCCCTACGGTCATCGACATCAAGTGCACCAGTACCGCCTACAAAAGCTGCTGCGCGGGAATTTTCTACCAGTGGGCACGGCAACAACGTTTCAGCGATGACGGCTAACATCCCACTACTATTCACTGTGCAGGTTAGTAAGATGGTTCCTGTTCAGTTAGAAGTGACTGCGTTTGTGTCGTAGTGTTGCCGTGCCCACGGTCGTGTTTAAAAAGTTTTCTCGACTTACTGTTGCTACTCAGTGGTGACGTTGAGCGTAACCCTGGCCCCCTGCCTAAGACGGAGGCAGAATCATTGTCAAAGATAGAAGCAATTGTGACCCAGTTACACGCCGGCCAGGGAAGCGTTTTAAATGAACTAAAAGAAATACGAGAAGAACAGAGGCGTACGAGTGAAGCGATATCCGCTCTAAAAACGCGTGTCGGGAGTATTGAAGGGGACCTTGCCAGTTGTAAATGAAAAATTAACGGAACAACAGAGATTGAGACAATCCGTTCTCTCGGACATAGCACTTCTTCAGCGTCGTTCGGACGATGCCGAAAGTCGTTCCCGTCGATCTAACCTACTTTTCTTTGGGCTAGAAGACGCAACCAGGGAAACATGGACCGAGTCGGAGAAACGTGTTTTGGACGTATGTAACGATAAACTTGGCATACAGATTAACCCCGATACAATAGACAGGACTCATCGGATTGGCAGGTTTGACCCAGATAAGGAAAGACCTATTGTCGTAAAGTTTGCTTTCTTTAAACATAAAGAACCTGTGCTACGGTCATCCTACGAGCTAAAAAATACAAACATTTCTGTTGGCGAGGATTTCCCGAGAAATGTACAGCTTGCGAGAAAGAAACTGCTAGACTTCGCCCGTACACAGAGATGTACTTACAAACTTCGCGTTGACAAATTGTTCGTAGGTGATGAACAGTATATTTTT